GACATAACTATAATCGGAGATAATCTCATGTGATGGATGTTGTTCATCGATGATTAATGGATTAGGTTGTGCCGTACTCGTCCTCTTCTTCCTTGGACGAGTATCAATCGAACCGAGTGGTCTTCCTCTCTTCCTTTGAGGAGCCACGGCCTCAACCACACCTCCACTAAGTGTGGTTGCAGTGCCTCCTACTATGGCACTGTGCCCTCCCTTGGGGACTTCTAACCTTGCAGGCACATTTGCAGCTGGTATGTGTGATCTTGTCACTTTTGCAATATCAAAAAATGCATCAGGCATTGAGTCTGCTACATTTTGTAGGTCTATTATTCTTTTCACTTCACTTTCACAATGTGAGGTGCGGGGATCAAAATGAGACAGTGTAGGAACACACCAGGATAATTCACGTCGTTCTTCAGAAAAATCCTTTTTCTCATCTCCCCCGAACGACGGGAATGTTGTCTCATCAAAGTGACAATCTGCAAATCTTGCGGTGAAAAGATCGCCTGTCAAAGGTTCTAGATAGCGGATTATTGTTGGGGATTCGTATCCAACGTATATACCTAATCGCATTTGAGGACCCATTTTGGTGCGTTGTGGTGGTGCAATTGGCACATAGACTGCAGAACCAAATATGCGTAAGTGTGAAATGTCAGGCTCATATCCAGTTACCAACTGGTATGCAGAAAATGGTTGGTTTGCAGTGGGCCGAAAGCGAATAAGTAAGGCTGCATGTAATATTGCATATCCCCATGCAGATATAGGCAAGGTGGTGCGCATAACCAATGCCCTAGCTATTGTTTGTAATCTTTTAATAGTAGCTTCTGCGAGACCATTTTGTGTGTGTACATGGGGAACGAGATGCTCTATGTCGATTCCGATAGACATGCAATAGTCATCAAATGTCTTTGATGTAAACTCTCCAGCGTTATCAAGTCTAATAGACTTTATAGGATGATCGGGGTGGTGGGCCCTTAAGCGAATTATTTGTGCTAGGAGTTTTGCAAATGCAGCATTTCTTGTGGACAATAAGGTAACATGCGACCAACGGGTCGATGCGTCCACCAGAACCATAAAGTATCTAAATGGTCCGCATTCTGGATGGATCGGTCCACATATGCCTCCTTGAATTCTTTGTAAGAATGGGATGTTTTGTTTTGTGTCTTTAGCATAGGATGGTCTCGATCCTGTTTTTGCTAAGGAGCAGGCTTTGCAAAATGAGTTTTGTAATGTGGACATAGTTAGGGAAGCATGGGCTAGTTCTTCTTGTGCTTTAGAAGATAATTGTCCTTGTGGAGGAGCCGCATGGTTAACAGTTTGTACTGTGCTGACTTTTCGCCCTTCTTTATACCTTTCTCGAAAGAAAGGGTGTCCATGTGAATTCTTGAGAATTCGAATCATCATGTCCCGACCGGGGTGACCAAGGCGATCATGCCAAAGCCTATACGAGTCTATGTCCAACATTTCATTGTTGGAGACCGCATATGATTCGAAGATTCGAATAGTAGTGACATAGAGTCCACTAGATTGACTCATTAATTTTTCTAATATGCGTTTTCTTCCGCTTTTACTAGAGGTAATATATAGGTATTCTATCTCATCCTCACTATGAGTTTCAATGTGGAAACCATTATCCTGTATATCTTTAAAACTTAATAAAGTTCGAGTAGCTCTAGGTGCATATAGAGCGTCTGTGACGTGGAATGTGGTACCGTTAGGTAGCATAAATTTGGCAGTGCCTCGCCCTTGTATTACGTTCGATGATCCAATCATCGTAGTCACAGAGGATTTATAGGCTACTAATTGAATAAAAAGTTGCCTATGTCTCAGGATAGTGTGGGTTGTCCCACTATCGACTAAACATTCGAGTTCTCCTCAGGTCATTCCTGTGTAAACATGCATTAGATAATTGTTGGTATATATTTGGATTTCAAAAATTGAATCCAATTATTAAAATAACGATAAGCATGTACTGTCCATAAGCAGGAAATTAAAAGGAATGGGAAAAACATAAAGTTTGTTTAAAATGTCTGGTGGGATAGGGGAAATTTAATCAAAGTCCGGTGCATCGACCGAATGGGTGGTGTTATTTTTAACACCAAAATCCGCCACTGTGAGGTTAACATCAACCTCATTTCCTTCGTCTGTCACAAACTGAGATTCATGCTCCTTTGATTCTCTGTATTTCTTGTAGGCAGCAACAACTCTATTACTGGCTTGGCAATTCTTATACCAATGACCTGAAACTCCGCATCTGTAGCATGATTCTTCCCCAACTCGGTCTCGTTTGACTGGAGGTTTTGATGGTGCATTATGGGCCTTGTTAGTTTGACCATTGGTCCCGCCGCTTGTATCTTTCTTCCACACTTTGGAAAATCCTCCACGGCCCGTACCTCGGCCTCCACGCCCGCCGCGATTGTTGCGCCCCCTTCCACGAGTACGACCCTCTCCTCTTCCACTAGGGTGCTTTCCAGTGTTTGCTTTGCCATAGTTGACCTCGGGAATTTTCTTTGTCCCAACTGGTCTGGCATTGTTATTCAAGAGAACTTGATTTTGTCTTTCAGCAACTTGGAGCAAATTAATTAACTGATTAAATGTGGTTATTCTTTTGTTATTATGCTCCAACCTATACTGGTTCGCTAGTATAAGTGCTGAGGTAGGGAAAGTGGAGAGGGTCTTATCGATCATTTCATCTTCTGTGATTGGTTTACCACATAAATTAAGGCGCGCTTTGAGGCGTAACATGTCCTTATTAAAATCGTTGATCTTTTTGTAGTCGACTAAGCGGATTTCATTCCATTGCAATGTTAGTTCGGGGAGCAATGTGTCATGTATGTTCCCAAAACGACCTTTTAGTGCGTCCCAAAGTTCTTTGGGGGTTTTCAATTGTAAGTATTCCTAGCGTAAGCTAGGGTCAATATGGCGTCTAAGGAACATTAACGCAGCAGCCTTTATTTTTTCAGACGGTGCATTATCTTTTAAACTTTCATGGTCGGCAAGCGTGGCGGAATAGTCTTTAGCCACAAAAGTGGTTTCTATGTCAGAAACCCAGCGATGGTACTCAAGTCCTTCTGAATCCAGGATGTCAAACTCGGGTCGAGTTAGATCAGTCATCTTAAAATATAAAATTGTATGAGTGTCATTCACTACCATTTATCGCTAAAAAAATGAATAAAAAATGCGATTCTTTGTGTGAAAATTCTTTATCACATAAAAACAATGGCATGTGGTATGTCTCTTTGCAGACAATATTTTGTATAATGCATCGAAGAGAGGAGATATATATTTATCTCCTTAAAAAATCATAGAGATTTTTTTTAGGATGTTATATGGTGTGTTTAATATATAAAGTATTAATAATGAATAGATTAGGTATATCTCTTTTTTTTTTTGAAAAAAAGAACGAATTTAATAATCCTTTTAGTAATATTATTTATATTGTTGAATTATTGAAAATATATTTTGCCATATATTTTAATTATATAAAAAATGGATCTTAAAAACGAATTTAATTATCATTTTTTTCGAACTTAAATAGTATATTTTGACAAAAAATTCGATTTTTTATTTTATTTTTATTTTTTTAAAACAAACTTCGAATTATCAAAAATAATTAATTATCGAATTTTAGTTATCCAAAATTAATTTGTAAAAACGAATTTAATAACATAGTAGTAATTTAATATGCATATATTTTAAAAAAAAATTGCTTCGTATATGTGGATTACCAAAAATTGAAGTTTTTTTTTTCGTTTTTTATTATTATTAATTTCGGGAATGAGATTGAATTTTCTAAAAAAATGAAAATATATATAAATTTGTTTCATATTTCGTTAAATAATAGTATTGGTGTGAACAAATGGCAAGTTTAAAAAAAATTGACATGAAAATATAGTCTAGAAGTATAAAGAAAAGGCATGTACACGAGGCAACCATATATATACACACGTAACATTTTATTATGCGTGTGGGTGTATGAATGTGTCAATTGTATGTTATGAATAATAAATGTGCATAAAAAAATGGAATAGTAAAGTCAAGATTTGTCATATATATTCATTTAAAGGTGGCGGTTTTCTAAATAGAATGGAAAAATTGATTTCATTGATTATTTAGTATTATGATATATTTAGAAGGATATTTTTATATGTTAATAAATTTTGAAAGAAAATTCGCACTTTTCATTTTTAGATTCTTGTCATATATATGTTAATATATTCTTTGCATATTAATTAAACATACGCATATGGGGAAAAATATTAATATAGATGGAAAGGAATATTAAACATATATTAAATAGTGAAAAGAGTAATCTTACGTGATTACGGTTCCAACTATATGTAAGTGACATATAGCATTACGGAAAAATATAACCACATAATATGTATAAAATAAATAAATAAATAAAAATGTATAATATGATCTTAATTCCAACTATATGTATTTAACATATAGCTTTACGGAGAGTATAATCATATAAAGTAAAAGTAAAAGAATGCATAATATGATTTTAATTCCAACTATATGTATTTAACATATAGCTTTACGGAGAGTATAATCATATAAAGTAAAAGTAAAAGTAAAATATGGTTAATTCGTGTGTTCTTTGATTCCAACTATATGTATATGGCATATAGCTTTACGGAAAAATAAGATCACATGTATGTATGCAATGAAGGAAGATGCATAATATAATATTGATTCCAACTATATGATTATAACATATAGCATTACGGAATTATATTAAAAAAAACTGCATCTATCTCCGGGAAAAAAAATGAATGAGGCATAATATCAAACATTTGGTTTGCAAGCAAAAAAAAATAGATCTCAAAGATTTTGAGTTGAAAAATACCTCAAAGATTTTGAGTGTTGCGGTGGTGGACGTTGGAGTGGACTGCTGCGGACTGCTGCGGCACTTTGGAGGAGGTTGCGGACTGCTGCGTCAATTTGGAGGAGGGAGGCGTGGAAAAATTTAGGGCTACGTGCTGATAACGTGTTGTGGGGAATGTGAGAGAGGTGTGTTAGTTCATTAGCAAGCCTCCTTTAAATAGGAGGAAATAGGGTTTACAAGGCATGGGCCAATGGGCCATATAAATGCACACAAAATCCTAAATACACTTTCTATCTATAACAAATGCACATTAAAGGTAATTTCCTTCAACACTACTAGAGTTTTAGTTGACAAAAATATGATTAGTTTCTATATGACAAAAAAGTGATTCAAACTCATTTAGAAATTTCCATCGTTGCTTCTTTTCTCGATGCAATCACCTGCTTCTCTTGGGCGCTGCTTCTCTTTCCTTCAAGCTCGACGCAATCACCTGCTTCTCTTGGGCGCTGCACCTCGGCTGCATCGTCGAAATCGTTGCATCGCCAAGCTCGTCTACATCGGATGTCTCCGCCTCGCCACCACAAGCCACTAGATTCCGCCGCCGCTGTTGCAATTCCGCCGCCGCCCTATTTGGTGCTAGGGGGAGTGGTCTTCTTCTTCGTCACTGTAAATTGTCGCCTTCGTTGGAGATCTGGGGCTTGGGCGAATCACATAGGGCTAGAGGGATGGGGTGATGCAGGGTGGTAGTTATTGGGGGTGGCTGCAAGTCGCAGAGAGTAGGGGAAGGGGACTAGGGTGCAGGGGAGGGGGCTGAGGTGCAGGGGAGGGGGATGGAGTGCAGGGGAGGAGGCTGGGGCTGGGATAATGGCCGTAGGCAGACTCACGCGATGGTGGCGGTGTCAAGGCAGCGGGGTGAGGTTTCCAGCAAAAATTTTGACGGGGAAAAGTCATCAAAAAAAATTCCGACGACACAGTGACATTTCCCGGTACAGTGACATCTAAAAGTGACGTGCAAACCGGTAGTGACATTTCAAAAATGACATAAAAATCTGGTAGTGACATAAAAATCCGTCAGTGACATAAAAATGACAGTGACATCATATATTTTGCAAATATGTGACCTTCTTAGTCACATTTTGTCTTTTTATAAAAATTGTCATATTTTTGGAAATTAGCTTTAGTTTAGTAATTATCAAGGAAAAAGCCCTTATTCAAATAGGTTGATCCTGTAGAGTGTTTGAAAGCGTTATATCCTTCCTTACAAAACATTGTTCGAATTCTAGCATCAATGTTTTATTCATTTCCTTTCCATCGTTCAATTTCTCTTTTATTATGAAATGGCCCGGGCTCCTATTTAATTAGTGTTCAACCTCAGATTTCATGATTTATTTTACTTTAGACTCAATTGCGTATCAATAACTTCAAAAGTAGTTGAAAAAAATTAGTCACTTATAGGGCAATCAATCATAATATATCCAAATTACAACTTTAATATCAACTTACTAAGGAATTTTGCTTGAAAATGAGAACCCTAGGTTCATTTTTTTTTATAGAGAACAAAACAAAAGAGGGGTGGTAATGTCTGATGTAACATTGATTATGTTATCCACCTCAAAATTTGACCTTAACTTTGTACAATGATGAAAAGTAGGCTTAGAGGAGATGAGAGCTTAACACCACGGATGTCAAGAAGAGCTGGAGTTATGCCTTGGGTTGATTCAACTCTAAATGAGTGTGATATATATATTATAGGGGTTTTGGCATGGATATTACTAAAAAAGAGTTAATGGACAAAAAAGTGACCTTTCTTTTTAGTTTGCAAAAATATGACTAATAATTCCTTAGATGTCTAAATTACCCTTCCTAATTTAATAAGCTACATCCAGTAAAGTTGATTACTCCCGTCAAAGTGCAAGTCGGCAGATTGCAAGTGCGTAGCAATTTGATTGCTTAATAACATTGCAATCTCTCTTTTTTGCAAGGATGTTGCATTCTCTAAAAATTAATGTTTTTTTTTAATTTAATGTTATTTCTCAAGATACATATTTAAACAAATTATTACAAAAAAAATGTTTGAACAATTGTTCCAGTTACTATTGCTCCAGTGACTAATATCTCAGTTACTACTGTCCCAGTGACTAATTCATCACCGTCGATTTGAGAATTATTTTCCCCCGATGGCCTAACGCTCCAGTGACCGCCCCATTCTAGTTACTTCCGCTCCAGTGATCACCGTCTTAGTTACTATCGCTCTATTGACTATCATCCCAGTTACTACTGCTCCGGTGACCACCGCCCCAGTTACTAACGCTCCAACGACCACGTCCCAGTTACTACCACTGCAGTGACCATCGTTCCAGTTACTACCACTCCGGTGACCACCGTCTCAGTTACTATCGCTCAAGTGACCATCCTTGTTACTACCGCTCTAGTGATCACCGTTCCAATTACTACTGGCTACCACTCCAATGTCCATCGTCCCAGTTAATACCTCTCCATTGATCACCGTCTCAATTACTACGACGCCACAATGACCGATTTCAAGTGACAGTTACATCATCTTTCTAGTGACCAACGTCATCGCCGATCATAGTAACCTCCGTCAAGGTGGTCACTAACAATGAGTATCTTCAATCAGAGTGACCTCACCCGACACCTAGTCACTGCCACATCACCGAGTGACCGCCTATAGTGACCATTTTTTCTCAATGACGCACAAAGCCAACACACTTGTCTGACTACTGCCCGGGCGGGCAATGACACCACTCTCAAACCACATTGACAACAAAAAATAGTGACCGCCGCCGCACAGCCGGGGGCCACCATCGTCCGACCGGTTGTTACCAATGTTGTCCGGCGATGACCACCGTCGCCCTCCCCCCACCATGCCCCGCACAATCTCGGTCACTGCCTTTGCCACTATGGCACCCCTCACCCCCGACCAGTTCTCGACCGCAACCCCTTCCATCGACCAGCCACTCCCCCAACCACCGCTAATGGCCATCCCTAACCAGAAACCTTAGCCGAAATTAGATATGAAATTTAGCGGCAATGACCACCGTCGCCGGAATGTGAGGGCACCAATAGGGTTGCGGCTGAGAAGGAGAAGAAAGGGGGAATTTGGCGATGAGAATCGTGGCGATGAGAATCATGGCAGCGTAGGCTCATAGCAACCGAAAACACGGTGATAGTTGGAGAGAGAGATGAATTGTGAGAAAAAGAAAATTCACAAAAACAATTGATTGTAAGATTTCATTGATTTAATCAGCCACCGCCCAGATTCGACCTTGTCGGAGACGCCGAACCATAGCCGCCGTCATCTTTAAGTGAATGCAGATGCAGATGAAAATGGAAGGAACCTCCGTGAATGTGTCATGCGAACGAACGAGTAGCGCGAGGCATAGAAAAGGGGAAGGCATATTAATTAGGATTAGGGGTAATGTAGTCATGTTATCCTTATGACTTTTTTGTCCAAATTAGATTATAGTCACACATAGGTCTACAACAACCGTAGGAGTAATATATTAGGCATTCTTTCTATATTATATTAGAAAGGGTAATGCGATTGGCTTTCTCTAATATTTAGAAACTGGTCTGAAATTCGTAATCAATGACAAAACTGTTGGGGTATATCACTGAGGGGGTGATAATCGAATACTTGGATTGTTTAAGGATCGTGTAAGTTCACTTTCCGAATTGATATTTCTCCCCTATGGCTGGGTTACAAGAAATTCAATCTAGTATATTTCTTAGACACTCTAGAACTTAGGCACAAGAACTAGAGCCAAACTAGTCGAGTATATGGATTGTTATCTTTAGTTGAATGCCAAAAGTGATCAAGATATGTTGTATATCTCTACTCTAGCTTCTCTGTGCGAAATATGTTGATATATATCCATATTACACGTCCTAGGTAGTTGCAACACGTTTTGGAATAACTATGACCGTTTTTTGGAAAAACTGCACGAAACTGCCCAACCGCTCTAGACCTCGGTCTAGAACAACAGAGTTGGTCTACTGAGTGTTCTACCTCGAGTTCCACTGCCGTAGACATTTTGGAATAGAAATCGTTCTTATATACAAGTGTGCACTCCACACCTCCTAGCTTGTATTAGAACACGGTTCTAATCCTCATCGGCACTCATACCATTTCCAATTACACAAAACGGCCGGTGACACTAGAATCACCAACAAAAATCACATTTTCAGCAAATGAACAGTGAAAAAAATTCATTACACCCACTCAGCTGAAACTCCATACAAATAACATATCTAAGACAACGTTTTTACCCCAAAAAGTAACCAATCGTAATGCTTTTAATTGTCTTTCACCCAGACAGAGTAATTATTTTTCTGGTCATGTGGAAGAAATTCATCCGCACACTTGACCTGACCTGACAAAATGAACAATCACACGCTAAGAGTTTGAAGGAAAAAAACTCATAATATTTTGGTAAGTAATATACACAAATATTTTCATTATTTGATTAAAAACACTTGTTTGGTAGGATTAAAAAGTATTATAGTCACTAAAACTCGACATAGAGGTTTGAATACATGAGGATGAAGACACATCCGAATTGCTTGGTGGGGGAGACGTGGTCCAAGTGTCCAGACGTGCAGTATTAAATTAATACTAGTATTTCATCTAAATGTCGTGAGATTATTAAATAATTATCATTAATGATTATTATTAATTATGGATAATAAACATTGCTGAGTAAGTGATAGTACTGAGCAGTGGACTAGAAATTCTAGAATACCTAATTATTATTCCACTCCCTATAGTAAAATACTCCACTCCGTAAGATAATTATTATTCCGTATATATATAAATAAAATATTAAATGCCATCCATAATGTCGTCTCAATCCTGTGGTTGTCGCACACCGCTGTTTCGTGAGTTGGTTTTTCGCGTCTATCTTCGACTTTCTCCCTCGCCAATCGAACTCTCTCACTCTCTGGTTTGCTTTTCCTCCTTTCCATTTTCAACTCTTCTCCGCATTCTAGGTTCTTCTGAGATTCATAAACCCTAGCCTTCGACGTGCATTCGCCCGCATTTGACCTCACCATGTATGCTTGCACTTTTTTCTTGCTCTCTGTACATACGCGTTTTCGACGCTTGGCTCGTCTTTGTTTGAGTGCCATTTTCGTTGTGTGTGTTTGCGTGGATCATTCGTTCCTCTGGCCCGCCGGAATTCCGCCGTATTTGCGCTGGTTCTGATCTGCTGCGGAAATGCTGTGGAAGTTGAAAAGCTGAGGATTTGTTGCTGCATTTAGGGTTTTGTAGAGTGGTTGCTTGTTCTGTTTGGTTAATTTATATTTCTGTGTGTGTGTGTGTGTTGATTGAAGTTTGTTTGGGGATGAGGCGATGCTTGTTTGGATGATGTTGCTGAAATTTGTAGGTGATTTCTTTTTTAGGATTTGGAAAGTAGAGTTAAGTAAGAATTGTAGTCTTTTCCTTGTAGGGGAATCATGAACGGGGAAGAAGAGAAAAAGTGTCCTCTTTGTGCTGAGGAGATGGACTGGACAGATCAGCAGTTCAAACCTTGCAAATGTGGTTACCAGGTCCGAATTTTGCCTGCCTATCTGAGAAGCATTACTGTTCCAAATTTAGTCTCCTTTTAACTATGGTGCCTGACAAGCTGTTTACATTGCAATTGTGATGCGATTGGAGATTTAGATGGAGTAAGAAGAGATCAGGGTTTCTTAATACCTGCTAATTTTTGTCACAAATAATACTTTTTAGTCTCTGGCACATCTTCCACATGGATTTTAGAGAGATAGTCTCTGGCATATCAGAATAATTAAAATCTGAAGCTCTTGGGAAGCCTTTTCAAGGATTTGGTGCATGTGACTGTCATATATGTATAACTAAAAACAGTATAAGTCTCTGGGCTCAGTTGTAGTTAATCTTTGGCTGTCTTCTCTTGTACAACCATAGGGCTATCATGCTCCTTTTTGGGGGGAGGGGTTATGTAATGGTGTGACATATATGTATTCTGAATTATAATTAATTTAAGATACCTAATGGATGATTAAGTCAGCATCTTTGAAGGTCCAGATTTTATTATGTGCAGCATCCTTATCTCTAGTTATGTGATTGTGTGAAGTATCTTCCTTTTAAATTCCAAATAAATTTATTGTGTGAAGTATCTTCCTTTTAAATTACAAAAAAGTTTATGCAAGATGCTAAGAGGAGCGTAAAGTAAAAAATAGTGAAGTCCATTACGTATTGTGTTCTATACAGAAATTCATGTTTAAGGGAAAGTTTCCAGTTTTATATCTCACGCCTTTTATTGTAAATTTGTAAGTGCTAATATGCTTTCTTTGCTATAATGGAAGATAAAATTTTAGAGTCATGCAACTGTTCTGCTAGTAATAGCTCCAAGTTTATAATGTTTTTGCGATGCATTAGAAAAGAAGTTACATTCTTTACAAGCTAATGTGAAGAAAATATACGTGTATGATATAAATTCTGTATATTCTGCATTCTTAAAGAAGTAATGTGGTGATGGTAATTGTACTCATTGTTAAGAAGCATCAATATGTCTGATGACATATGCTGTGTGACTGATGGTCTAAGAAGAACTAATATGTCTGAGGACATATGGGAAGTATTTTGCTTTGTAACTGATGGAAAGATTATTGAGCAGCTGATTGCTAAGTGGGGAAGGTTAAGTTGATTAATGTTATCCTCATGGTTGTCACTAGCTCATGGCGTTGACGACGCGGTGACCATGTATCCTGGTGATGGGGAAGCCATGCCATGCTAGGTTGACTAGCCCGAATTCGCCGACGCAGGTGGCAGGTTGCTAGTCGCCGGAGGCTGACGCAGGCCGCCATCGCTTGTCGCTGGCGTAGGCTGCCATCGCTGGTCACTGACACAGATTCCTTGCTCTGCCGTTTGTACTTCCGCTTGTTCTTTGGTATTTCTGGATCGGAGTCTGGACACTCTGCTGTTGTACTACTTTTAGTTTGCGTCTGTGTCTGATCTTTCTGTCCTTTTTCACTAAGCTGTTCATTTTCTCCTTTTCTTTCTCTTTTATTTTGTGTGTCAATCAGTTGACTCCCGCTGGATGGTTCTTTCCATCTTTTGTTTTGTAATACGCAGTATATTCTATTTTAACAGCTGATTTTTTAAGGAGCTGAATTTTTTATTACTTCATTTTTATTGAATACTTATATTACATTAAAATTTAACTTGTCATATTTAGTTCTTCATGATATTTAAAACTCGTAGTTCAAATGTTCTTAGTACTCATCTGAGATGGTTATTAAACTCTTGTTCTGAATTATTTAACTCTGGTTTCAATAATAAGTAATACTACGTATATAATATAATTTATACTCCGTAATATATCTCATCATATTTAAATGCTAGTGCGACATGTCACCTAGTTGTCATGTAGGTGATAAGGCGGTTGGCTTGCGCTGTGCCCCACCTTTCTTCCGTGACAACCACGGTTACCTTTTGCAAGTAGATGTAGTTGAGCTAAATAACTGTTGTGGCACATTGTCAATCTGATTATTTTCTTCTTTATCTTCTAGACTAGAATGCCTTTAACACCATTTCTTTGCTTGTTGAAACAGTTTGTTTACTGTATTTGTTCTTTAACGAAGAAATATTTGAGAATTTTAAAAAGCTGTTAATGTTTACTTATTTATATGGTTCTCGTTAATATCACAGGTGTGTGTGTGGTGTTGGCATCATATAATGGACATGTCAGAGAAAGAGGAGACAGAGGGCCGTTGTCCTGCGTGCCGAACAATTTATGACAAGGAAAAAGTAGTTGCAATGCAAACAGATATTGAAAGGTCTATATCTTCATTATTAATTACCAGTATATATTGTTCTGTCTTGGAGGTGGGTTGATTTACAATGATTTATTTGCTAATAATAGGGTGAAGAACAGCCATGCTAATGGGAAAGCCAAACCACCAAAGGCAAAACCTAAAACTAATGAAGTGAAGAAGGACCTTACAAACGTTAGGGTCATTCAACGAAGAATGGCATATGTTATCGGGCTACCTCTTACTCTTGCCGATGAAGATGTATGGGGTGTAGATACTATTTATATTTTGCAATTTAAGATTTTAGTTCGTATTACATTTATTTGGACAATTGATCAGTTCAGATTTGTCCTTATATTTGTTTTTGCCGTGTCGGACAAAGCAAGCTTTGTTTTGGTCAATCAAAATAGCTCTGATAGAATTTATTATGAAATGAGCAGCTGCTGCAACGAAAACAATATTTTGGTCAGTATGGGAAAGTTACTAAGGTATCTCTATCTCGTACAGCTGGAGGTGCAGTTCAACAATTCATTAATGATTCCTGTAGTGTGTAAGTTTGATATTTCTTAAAACTAAATAGTTCCCATTGAAAGTTCTATTGGAAAATGTGTTGTGTGCTATTTGGATCATGTTGGAATTTAAAGCAGTTACTATTCGAGCTGCTTTTGCATGTAATCATTTATGTACTTCCTGATTCGATGACGTAATGATATGATGATATGTTAGATTTGTTTCACCTTTTTTGAGAAAAGAAGTTCCATTATTTTTTTGCTGCTGCCAAAATTTCCACTTTGACTAAATATGTAATGTATCTCCAGTTGCTTATGGTGAATCTTCACGATTTATAATTTAAATTTGCTTTACATACTTTTTGTAACTGTCGTGAGAAAGACATTTTTTTCTTAAATTGGGTAATATGATTTCCTGCAGATGATTTTTGACTGTGTTTTGGCAAATATCGCATTTTTTAAGTTTCCTGTAATTCTTCCATGCATGATATAAACAAAAGTTAAAGAAACCAGCTAGTGGTTTGCATGAAAAAGTATTACTCTGTCAGTCTGTCTATAAAATTCTTGTATAATTTTGCCTTTTAAAGATGTTTCATGGTGAGTTAGTAATATATTTCTATATATTGTCCTCAACTGTTTGTTATATTTCTTTTCAGATATATTACATATTCAAAGGAGGAGGAAGCTGTTAGATGTATTCAGTCAGTACACGGCTTTGTCCTGGATGGTAGATTTTTAAGGTAAGCATTTACCCTTTTTCTATGTACACTTATACCATCAGAGCGGTGTTGTTGTTAGTTACATTTAAAAGTGCCCTGTGCAGAGCTTCATTTGGAACTGCAAAGTACTGTCATGCCTGGTTGAGAAACATGGTATTGGAAATGCAAACTTTCTATTGTACTCATTTTATTTTGTGGATTCTTAATAAAGTTTTTTCCCATAAGTGATGAATGATGTTTTTTAAATTTCCAGCCTTGTAACAACACTTCATGTCTATATTTACACTCCCTTGGTGCTGATGAAGATAGTTTTGGTAAAGATGAGACAGCTGCAATTCATACTAGGTATGAGACTTGCAAACTTTTGTCTTATTTTAGTATTTGATGTGATTTCATCCATGTTATGGATAAATGACATGAAATTAATTTCAATTTCTGATGGGAATGGCTGGCGTGCCAGTGTTAAGAACTATATATAATGCTCACCCTGATCAAATTATTGATTTCAAATAATATATATACCAAATTCCTAATTCTTATATTTGCATCTACCTGATTGTTATTTTCTTTTGTTGGATATGCAGAAATAGAGTACAACAAGTTGCGGGTGCCACGAATAATGTTATACGTCGCTCAGGAAGTATGTTGCCCCCTCCAGTGGATGAAATTGCTAATTCCGGGATTCATCCTACAGAGAGAACTCTGGCTCAAAATGCTACTTTTGTAAGATATATTCAAATGTCGTTCTGGTTTTTGTTTTTGTTTTTAATAAGGTCATTTTATGGAAGATGTTAGAGTTGCACTTATGTTATTTGGTTTGCACTGCAACGAGCCTTACTTATGTCACTATGTGTCACCTGTTTACAGAATTCAACCAATGGAAGTTTAAGTTCCATTGGCAGCCATGTTCCTCGTTCAATCTGTTGTAATGATAAGGATGGAGGTGCTAGTGGACTCAAAAGACCGACCACCTTTGTAGATATTGTTGGCAGGTCTAGTAGCTCTGATCTAGAGAATGATGGGAATAGTAGCCAAAGCTGGAAAAATTCAAATTTACTCTCTGATATATCAGGATCATCTATCAGTAGAGAAGATTACAACCAGGACCCTTATTCAGATACACTGCATTTCAGTGTTTCATCTTCTAATTACCTTTCCAATCAACTGCAAAGAGAACAAAGCCAGGATCCATATTCAGATACACCGCATTTCAATGTTCCATCCTCTAATTACCTCTCAAATCAAATGCAAAGGGATCAAAGTTCTGGGGAGTTCTCAGATGAAACATTTAGAGAAGACTTAATATCTTCTGACGGTCAAGGATCTCAGGATTCAAATGGCTTGTGGCAAAGAACACCTTTTATCGATTCGTCTCACCCTGAAAACTTAAGAGAGAGCACTGGTGGTCATTTGTTATTGAATAATAATAAGGGGACTTCTAGTTTTAGTGATATTGGCTTGAATTTACACAGCAGTGCTGCTGTATATAAGCAAGAGGATGAAGCTTCATTACCTCTATCTTGTGCAAATTTGGTTTTAAGTGAAGGACACCATGATATGAAATTCCAAAGGTCTGCGAAAGCTGATATGGTGTATCGAAGCTCTAACTCATTTTCCAATGAAGAAATTGTTGAGCACTTGCGAAGAATTGAGGATGACCTTTTGAGTAATGATGCAGACATTTCTGCTTTCGGTCCTGTAGAGAGCAGTATAATATCAAATTTCATGTCAATGAATTTTGATGATGAAGCAGGTGGGCATCATGGTTCGTCAAGGAATAGTGTTAATTTTGGACAATCAAGACTTCCATTAACAAACCAAAATGGCATTCTAAGTCAAGTGAATGACTTGGAGCCTCCTTTCAGAAATATCAGTCAAATGCCAAAACCATGTCCTGGCGTGGAATATGAAGCGAACAAGGAACATTACCTCTGTAAGCCCCAATATCAAGGTAAACAAATATAACAAATTTCTGTCTTTGCTTATCGTATATTCCCTTCAGTTTTGGTAACATTACCTCTGTAAGCCCATATTCTTCCTATTTTCTCATTCATGCTTTTACTTCAAGAGGTATATGATCTATATTAGGCAATGTATTTGACTCGTTTGAGCAACAAAATAGTTCAATTGGGGGCTCTTTCATGTTTACTAGTGTGATTTTTTAATAGTTGGGGGAAACTAGTAAATTACTGTGATTTTAACTCCTGTGAAGTCTTTGAGTTTGTACTTGATTGCTATTCTCTTACCAGTGCCAAGAGCTCGAAGTTTTGCTCCACCTGGATTCTCAGTGTCTTCCACCACCACCATGCACTCACCTCCGGGTTTTGCAAGTGAGGGAGCAGGTGGTTTCCCCCGTCGTACCTCAGGTAATATATCACCTCCATACAATCATCTCATTTTTCAGGAAATTAATTAATACATACTTCAACGGATCAAATATCGTGCTGTGTTTAAAAAAACTTGGTCAAGCAGGGAGTGGCAGCAATGCAGAATTTGTGGACCCTGCAATATTAAGCTTTGTGAAGAGTGCACCAATGAATACCGAGATGAGCAGAGTGGGGTTTGCACCACCAGCACCACAGCAGAGATCATCCCTCGATGATGAGGCGAGACTCTGGCTGCTGATTCAACAGCAGCAAAAATCTACAACAGGAGAGCTTTCTTCCCAAATATTTGCCCCATCCAACACCACCACGTATCAGGATCACAGGTTCCTAGGCGGAAACGACTTTTCTAGTTTGAACAACTACGGGTATCATCATCAACAACAAACTACATCAAACATGGTTCCACAACCGCCTTTGTCCCGTGGATACCAGCAGCAGCAGCATGGTTGGGAGGAGACGCAGTGTAGGAATGAGGCGGGATTGAGAGGAGTGACAGGAGAGGTTGATAGGAATCTTCATCAGAGGTTAGGAGGGGCAAACTACTTTTCTGGGTCGACGTATGGAGATTTGATGTTCCAAGCCCAAAACTCGGGTGATGTATACACCAGGGGGGTATTTGGGATGATGTAACTATGGGAATGGTTTTTACTCCCCCAGTAGCTACTGCTAGCTAGGAAAACATGTACGATGCTCGACCCCCTCCCCCAAGGTGGGGTATGGCATAATGGTGTCTGTTATGGAATCAGCTGTTATTAAAATATATGCTTTAGTCTTGTTCCATGGATTCACATGGTGGCCTAATATTATAGGAGTTGATTGTCTATGATTAGGCTGTGAATTCTTTAATACCATTAGCTAAGTTTCGCAATTTTAATAGTACTCAAGTCACAACACCTGGCCCCAAATCACCCCCTTCCCCCAATAACAAATGGAACTAACAGATCTGAATTTGTCTTGCTCCACACAGTAACCATTTATATTATGCAAGTTGTTCTAATTTTTTGCGTAAATGAGTAGTGTGTTGGTTGGGATTTGAACGAGGAAAGGGATGGATGTGACTAGGGGTGAACTAATCCTGGTTTCAGTTTTGGACCTGCCGGTCCTAGCATTTATATATAGGAGCTTGGGGCCTATAATTCTGAGTCCGTATTATTTCTGGTTAATCGGCTGGTTTCGGTCCAGTCTCGGCCCTCGGGCTTATATTTTTAATATATTTTTCACCCCATTCTTCCCAATTCCTTTTCAACTTTTAAATGGACTCGTGCCTATATTAGTTGCTTCATTCACAATGGACGTAGAATGTTGATTCCGGCCCTTAATATGACCCACCTGAAACTGGGACCCTAAACCCTCTGATTATGGTTCTAACGAGGAACCATCCGGACTAGTTCTGGTTCTGACCTGAAATGATCCAGGACTGGACCGTATTCAATGATTGTTAAAATTCATCCCTAGTTGTGACATTCTTAAAATTTACAACAGTAGGCATTTAAGATTGTTGGGGTGACCTAAAAAGGCATTAAACATTCTTAAGTTTTTATAATTTTATACACAAGACGAGTGTTCAATTAAGCGTTGCTTAAGATTTTGACTATCATAAATAATTTAGAGAATTAATTGTATTTCTGGTTCAATGAGTTTTTTTTGTCATTTTTACATTTAATTACTCCGTATTACCTTTTACTTTATCCAAATTTGGTACTTGACTGTTGTTTTTTGGCTAAAGGGTCAAATAAGTACATGAACTAACTTAAAGTGTTCAATTAGTCCCTTATTTAGGAGGTTATGTCCGGCCATCGTCAATTGGGACGGTTTCCGATGGAATTTTTTGATGATTTTTTGTGAGCATCTTCTTCATTAAGTCTAGTTTACCCATATCAAATTTCAGCTAAAAATTTAATCGGGAAGGCAGTCAAATGATTTTCCGAAATAAACTGCGCTGTTTAACTGCGCAGTTATCTTCAAAAAATCATTTGACTGCCTTCCCGGTTGAATTTTTAGTTGAAATTTGGTATGGGTAAACTAGACTCATGGTTCTAAAAATCGGCCTAGGCGGGCTAGGTAGGCGCCTAGTCGGCTAGGCGGGCGACTAGACGGGCTAGGCGGTGGCTAGGCGGCCTGTACTAAATTTTTTTTACCGAACAACCTTTTTTTTCCCGTTTTATTATAAAATACCGTGTGATCAAGAAGTATTCTATTCCTATATAATTTATTTTCATATTCGCACAATAAAAAAATAATTTTAAAATATAAATAAACTTTTTAGAATGTATTTTAAGATTTTAAGAGAGTAAAAAACACAAATATCTTAATGTATTTATTAATTATTTTATTATTGATGATTCTACTATAAAAAACTTAACATCTATATATCTAATGATTATATGAGCTATTTCTATTTTCAAAATATTATAAAATTATTAGTAATATAATTAAAATTCAAAGGAAATAAAAAGAAAACAAAAACTCATGGAAAAATACCTAGGCGCCCTAGTCGGCGCCTAGGCGGGTTAGGCGCTAGGCAGCCAGTCACCGCCCGACTAGCGCCTAGCCGCCTACCGCCTTTTAGAACATTGACTAGCGCCTATCTATATAAGAAGCTAATTGAACATTTTAAGTTAGTTCATGTACCTATTTGATCAGTTTTGTACTTTCATCCAATTTTCTAGCGATCTTAACCATCAAAAATATCATCAGGACCATATAAGGGCAAAAGGCAATAATAATGTAGCAGAAGTGGTCAAAGTTAAAAAGATGAACCAATTGTGAAATTAGTGCAATACGCACAGAACCAAAAGTGAGTTTTATTCATAATTTAGAATGAATGTGTCCTCACAACTTGAGACTTGAGTGTTATGTGCCTTTTGACTTGCTTCTTTTCATTAAAAAATCGAAAAAGAAAAAATAGCAGCTCTCCTCACTCCATCCACCAACTTGAGGAAGACTCACATTCTTAGCCCTTCCCCCTCCTCTTATGAGGCTTCTCCGTACCCATGGTTGCAGAAAATTACATCATCAAAAAGTTCAAATAGGACAAAGCTAGAAAAGGTGTTATATATTTTTAACCAGAAAGTAATAATATCTTAATCAAATAAGACCAAATTGAGAATGACTCGAACTTAGACAGTAACATTCAAACTAGATCAAATCAAATAAAAAACATTTAGACCAAAACATATTAGACTATTAGAGCAAATAGAAAGAGAAAAGTCTTAAGAACAATGTATTGTTGCCGTAAATGCCAGGCTACAACCATGCAAGTGCCATGCCTCGAATACTATAAAGAATAAAGAAATACTCCGTAAGAGGTATTTTCAATCGAATTCTTCAATAAAACTACTTTGAAGTTTGAAGGGCCTTCACTTTGTCATGATGTTTATTGTAAAGTATAATACATTGTACAAATATGACTATGAATACAGAATACCTATGAAATATGAATAATGGTGTAGACACATTCAATTTTTTCTCCATTTTCAATGTCATAAATTCTCATTCGGAACTCCTAACTCATTTATTTCAACTACCGTTTCTTCATGACGGAATATTTCTATCATATTCAATTTTCTCACGAGTCAAAATTTAACAATTTGAGTAATCTACATAGCAATATGCGTGTGTCTGTGTGTATATATTATAGTGAGAGAGGCATATATAAAGAAGTTCGATAAATTTTGACTTAATAGGTGCTTTGATATCGATGATAGAGGCCGATCCTCATAGTGACAACAATATGTATATTCGAGGATGGATTCTGAGAAAATCGTTAGATATTCATAAACAGAAAATAGAAAGAGACAAACAGATTTGAAACTCATCGAGAGACCTCACTCTCCTGAATCCTATTTCCAACTCGAAGTTCTCCCAACCTATTTTTCACTTACCCACTCATTATTATCTTACACAAATGTTATTGCTACCCCAATTTGTACCCCCTCCATATATTTGTGGTTCACAAAAGCACTTCATTAAAATGCAGCAATTCATTTAATGTGTTGGGTTTTTGTGAACCACAAATATAGGAAGGGGTACAAATGAGGTACCAAATGGGTTACCTCTAGCAAAGTTCATTATATTACTACTCTTCTAAAGGGCCAGCACTCAGCCCTAAATTACTAGGCCTAGAACCCTTTTGGATCGGAGTTTGAGACTCCATCTTAAAATGTGAAACAAAACATTAATAACTCAACATCTAATGTAGTTTTGTTATTTTATATTCAATGTGATGCATTGCTCAACAACTTAGCAAGAAAATAAAATAATCTAGCCATATATATAGTTATAGTAATATAAGGGAAATTCATTTTCATTAAAGTAATTGTCCTATATAGGACTAAAAGTAAACTTAAATGCACAAATAGGACCACATCTTTTTTATTCCCTAAATAGGACTCCGGATTACCATTATGCCATCCTATATAATAATATCCAAAACCCTAAAATTCTATCGATCACTTCTTTCTCTACTCCTCATCATCCATCTCTCTCGTATCATCTTTGTCGCAATAAACTTCCCCTCTCTCAGCGTCGCTGGCTGATTCTCCATCACCGTTGCTGGCCGGATCTCCATCACCGCCGCTGGTTCTCTGCAACACACCGCCTCTGTGTCGCTAGTTCTCCATCGGTCCATCGCCACTCCCCTTTTCCAGGTTTTTTTCTTCTTTCTTTCTCCTCCTCCTCCTCCTCCTCCTCCTCCTCCTTCTTCTGCTTCTTCTTCTTCTTCTTCTTCTTCTTCTTCTTCTTCTTCTCATCCATCTTCTTCTGCGTCTTCTTCTTCATCATCCTCCTTCTCTGTTTTTAGTTTAAAAAGTCAAATTAATCACTGGTTTTGTTGTTTTTTGGTGGAAATTTTTGATCTGATTCAATTTGTTGAGTTTTGGCATCAACTTTTCTGATTTTTGGGCATTAATTTCGTAGTTCATATTTTGATTTCAAGAAATTTTCCATTTTAGTAAAAACCTTGTTTTTTTCAGATTTTGGATAGAGTTCATATTTTGCCAAATTTCTGGCAGATTCATGTAAAATGCTATGACAGAAACTTATAGTTTGACATCGATTTGAGAGTATTGCCAACTATATGACAAATTTGCATATGAAACTATGGCAGAAAAATATTGTTTTCATTGAAATCTACCAAATGTAATGAAAGGAACTGCCAATATAGTGTTCATTTTTCTTATAAAAGATGGCAAAATTATTTTTTTATGTGGTCAATAATATGTTTTTTTTTTGCAGCAAGATGGCATTTTCAATGAAAATCGACAATGGCGACGTCGGAAGTGACGACGGCGATGGTGATGGGTGTGACGGCCCCAGGAGTGGGTGCAGCAGCATCTGGAGTGGGGGCGCTGGAAGTGGCTGCAGCGGCATTTGGAGTGTTGGAGGCAGCAGTGGAACCTAGGGTTTTAGAAAGTTTGTTTTATTTTTTTTATTTTTAATTGTAAATAAATTTAGAAATTCATTAAGGGAAATATTGTAAAGTGAGCACATTTTTAGTCCTATAAAACATTGAAGTCATATTTGTGTTTTCTTCATTGTTTTAGTCCTAGTTAGGGAATTAACTCTTTTCGTTATTGTACATGCGGACATGCCCAAGTTCTAAACAATCTTGCAAAGAACAAGAAGTCTCTATTTCATAGTCAATACCACCACAATCACAGTCACCATTTTACTAATTAATTAACTTTGATGTCTTTTAAGGAAGATGAATGCACGAAGCGGTCATGTTATGCCTGCAGATAACCCTACAAACTCCCTCAAGAGAAACATGGTAGTCCTATATACACTTGATTGACCATACTGTATTAGTATACGATGATCCACATAATAGAGAAATGAATTGAAACTAAAAATATGAGCGCGGTTGGACTTGGAGTGGCAGCGCCCATAAATCGATCTGCTGATGCCAAACCAATGCCTCTAATTATGGGATATGTTATTTGGGGATGATTGATCGGCTGAAGGGAATTTGAATGCTGAAGAAGTACTGGAAGAGAATCCTGATGATGCTGCAGAAGAAGGAAACAACAGTGTTGGCACTGTAGGGTGGTGGTTCACACACTGGCTACGCCATTTCCAATTGGAGAATGCAGGAGAAGACGTTGTTTCTACCTCAATTCCCAATAGTCCCACCTGTTCATAACAAAAACACAAATACAATGTTATGCCTCCCCCTCTTCAGCCATATTGGGCATACACACTTCAAAATTTGTAAAAAGCATGGCTCAAGATCATTTATCATTGAAGTCTTGAAGAGGCATAAGTAATTATGAAACATCAAGATCACTGTGTGGGGTATTTGGTTCAGGTTTTAGAGTAACCTGAGATTACCAACACGTTGGTAATATTGGGGGAAATATGATTACACTGGGGCTTCTTAGATATTGTTGTTTGACCAGTTGAGTTTGTTTAACAACTCAATGTTCCAGCTTTACCCTGCAACAAATCAAGTACTACCTTTGTCCAATTTAGTTCAGGACAAGGGACTTGGCACATATATAAAGAAAATATAGGATTGTGTGCTTGGTAATCCAATTTGTAAATGAGGATACAATGTGAGCCATTAAATATGACCAATTATGGCATAAGACACATGTTAGGACAGACCAAAATAGAAATATGGGACAAATAGAATGAGCAGAGGGGAGTAACATATTCTGTTAAACAAAACAAATTTAGTTGATGATAATCTCATATTACCTTCCACGGGGGTAGCTTGTATAGTGCCAAAATATTTTCCCAATAACAAAAAACCATATACACTTCATCATTTATAATATACGCACTCAATTAAATATGACACAAAACCAGAAATCTTTTATTTGCTAGTAAAGGAAAGAATCATGTAAAGCCAATAAGCATTAGTTCATTCCATCTACGATTATTCATTGGATAAACTTCCATTGGAGCTTGAACAGCCTAAGGAAGAGAAGCATCGTACTCATCAGTGGATTAATTTAAATAGTCCATAAGGAACACGTTTCACTGTTTCGGCTAGCTATTTGTAAGACCTGAGTTGGTTAGACTACTGTGATGCTCCCCCCTTTATTAATAACATAAAATCAGCAGATTGGAAATGATTCATAGCAAACAGTACCCAGACTATGTTGTGAGGTCATGCTATATTTTCAGAAATCAAATTATTACAATTTTATGAAAATGATAATTACCTCATTCTTTGGAAGAAGCCCGGGTTGCATCCCAGTCCACCTGGAATACTTGAATGCCATTGCTGGACCATAAGGTGCGACGGGGGAGGATTGCACCTGTAGTAGCATTCATAAAACAAGCTGAGCTGATAAGCAACTCTTAGATGATAAGTTACATTATAACTTATTAGTAATACTCCGTAGCTCAGAACTCATAGCTGAAAAGCTAGTTCATCTCAATAACTCATTTAGTGTTTGATAAAAATTGGTTGATAAGCTAGTAACTAGCTTATGGTGTGCCAAACACAGCCCAACTAGATTGACAAAAACTGCCAAAATGTAATATTGCACACTTTATTTTAAGGTCCATTTAGAACCAGGGAAATACTGGAAAAGAAAAAGGAAGGAGAACTTGGAGAAAAATTGTAAGGAATAAAATGCGAGGGAAATAGAAAAGAAGCTAAAACTTATCTTAGCAAACCTAAACGAATTTAAATTAAAAAAGCAACTAGCCATACATTATTTTCCTTTTCATTTCCCAAGGCAAAACCAAACATAAGAAATAACTTATCTTAGCACCCCCACCCCCACCCCCCCTTAACAATTCTACAAATGTACTTTGGCAGTGTAAGCTCTGAATGTTACCCTCTCTTTCCTGTCTTTTATGGACGCTCAATGCACGTCTTTAATGAGAGAACTAGTGAAAAGTATGAATTGTTTAAAGATTTTAGTTAATAGAAAATACCTTCAATCTTTTCAAGGAAGACAACTCACAAGCTTCAAAATTGGATTGCAACTTTCTGACATCAGGCATTTGTGGACCATCCAATGGTGGAGAAATCCAAAGGCTTAAATCAAGACTGTCCATAGTACCTGCACCCACAATATACGTTGTCCAAGAAGATAAAACATATTAGTTTAGTAAATTTAGCATCCAATTGAAGTGATTTAAAAGTATGTGATGACATCTCCAACCTTAGCTTTAAGCCCTTGTTTAGTTGGAGGGAAGGGGAGACTGGAGCTTGGAGGAGTGTTGTGTGTTTGGTTTGGAGAGGTAGGAGTGAGGAGAGGGAAGTGGATGAGCTACAGACTCCTCCAACCTCATATCTCACTCCACAAATTTGGTGAATTTTGGAGGAGTGATCTTTTCCATGATTTATTTTTCAGCTTCTTTATCAAAACTTTTCTACATCCTTAGTAGCATACATGTAGAATTGGTAGGGAGAAACTGTATGTTTCATATGTTTAGCTACATCGCTAATGCCTATTGGCATACATGTATGTTAATATATTTTTAGCTACAACAAAAAATACTATAGTTTGTTCCCCTCCTCAGTACTTGCGTTTCCTTTCCGATTTCCTTTTTCGGATGAACCAACATTTTTTTAACCATTGATTCCATTCTAAGAACACCTCCATGATTTGCAATGGAGCCAAAGATTCATTATTTTTTAGCTTGAGATTATGATGGAGTAAAGCAAAATGGCTCACTAAACTGTCTGTGCTTCTTTGTTATGAAACAACAGTCGGTCCATGCAATTTTGGACGCGTTTTTCACTATGGGTCATCCGGAAACAGTTTCTCTGTGCTTTAGTATAGGGGTAAGACTGAGTACATCCGACCCCCCCTTACCCCACCGTAGGTGGGAGCCTTTGCGGCACTGGGGTAAATGAAAATGATGAAATGATGAAAATGATTCCATTCTAAGAAGGAGAGATTCAGATGGTCGATATTGTTTGTCGTCTCCTTTATACATCAACCACAACAATATACTTTCACTTTCTCGATAGACTTATCAAGTCAAATAGAAGAAAATTTGAGGAGGGAGCTAATTATTGTAAGTATTATATACATAGTATATAATACTATGAATTAATGTGCTTTTGAAGTTGTATATGAATTAATTCGTAGTTTATTGCATTTTTATAATCACATAGAGTATCTCTTGAAACAGTATATAGTTCATTTTCATTTACCCCAGTGCCGCAAAGGCTCCCACCTATGGTGGGGTAAGGGGGGTCGGATGTACGCAGTCTTACCCCTGTACTAAAGCACAAAGAGACTGTTTTCGGATGACCCATAGTGAAAATTCCGTCCAAAATTTGCATGGACTGACTGCTGCTTCATAACAAAGAAGCGCAGACAGTTTAGAGAGCCATTTTGCTTTATTCCATCATAATCTCAAGCCAAAAAATAATGAATCTTTGGCTCCATTGCAAATGAGGGAAAATTTAAACAGTATATAGTTATTTAAAAATAATCAAAGCTAGCATTTATGATATGTAAGTAGGTAACTTTCAATTAAACTGGACGAGTAAAGGGGGAATAGAAAAAGAATGGTTCAACGGTCCAACTTCTGAACAAATGGGGTTGAGATGATAGTGATTTGAGATTCAAGTAGCTTCAAACTCAATGAGTTGGAGATGATCGAGCAAAGAATAAATATACCTCCACCACTACTGTCCTTGCTCATCATTCCATCATAGGCACTAGGTTCAAAGTTGGTCATTGCATCCCTTCCATAACATTTCATGGCTGCTTTGTCATAAGCCCTAATGAAGAAAATATAAAAGAAATATTGTGAGATCCATAATATATGAGAGGGAAAGTGCAGTATCAACGAGTATGGATTTAAAATCACAAGGACCTTGCAGCTTCAACTTCAGAATTGAACAGCCCAAGATAGATATACCTGCAGCCAACCATTATATACATGAACCCTAAGTTCTTTATGAATGGATTCCAAAAGATGACAACCATATAACGTTAAGTATACCACTAATCGAGTAGTAGGGGAAAAGGCTGAAAAAAGAAAAATATGTAAATTGAGAGATCTTTACATTTCAGCTCCGTTTGGTAGCCATAAGTGGCTAATTCTCGGAATAAGTATCTAGCACGTGATGCATGTGACTTGGGACTTGTTTACTTCACCTCAAAATTTGTGATCTGAATTTTTTAGAATCCGGTCTGGTCAGAACCGGACTAATTTGATGTGATTTTTTTAGAATCCGGTCTAAATGTTTTTGGTCTGGTCTCGTCTGGACCTTTCTGGACTAGTCTGATTTGTATATTGTTGATCATATCAAATTTTCAAGTGTAAAACTAAAAAACCAGTATGGTCTAAATCTTTCTAGTTTGATCTAGTCAGTATGAACCTCTCTCCTCTCGTTTAAAATTGTCTTATGAAGTCTTGGGTGATTTGCTTAAAATAATAATTACGGAGTACTTCACAAGCAAAAATATAAAGCCAACGGAACAAGACTTTATTTGTTTAAAATGGATGGTACATTGGTACCAAATGTTTTTTCTATCGAGAGTTTCAAGATATGAAACAATTTCAACAAATAACCCTTGACGTAGGAGCTAAAAAGGAATTCTTACTTTTTACCCAATAATTGACCCATTCGAGCCTCCCATCTACCACATTTGTGCAAGGTTACCCCTCTGAATTTAGAGCTACCTCTAGAAAATCCAGTGCTCTGACGTCGAAGAATTTGAATAAACTCTTCTTTGCTCAAGTTCTTCAACTGCAGATGAAGAAGGGCAGCAAGATTAATATGCCTTCAACATTGCACATCACATAACAACTCAATAATGCTACCAACAAACATTTTCACTGACCTGTTTCATATCCTCTTCATAGTCACTTAATTGAAAATTGATGTCCGCGTCCACTCCTCGGAACTTGATAGCAGCACGATCATAAGCCCTAAGTCCCATCAAAAGATCAAAGAAAGAAAAAGAAAATAGGAGTCAGAACTTAGAAGATCTAGTTGTAAGTGTTTAAAGTAAACAGAGTTCTCAATCTGGATCCAATCTTCACCTGGCAGCAGAATGAGCTGTGTCAAACCCTCCTGAAAAACAAACAAACATCAGATTATAAAAAACCAACCCATAGTTAGGCAATTCAAAAGAAACATAATGTAGTCGGATGAAAAATATCATTGCTATTCAAATTGATCTGTTTACCTACCCAGATAAACTTGCTTCCCACAGTCCCTGCAAAATTACAAGCTCTAATGATCAATCATCCAATACTGACACAGACAGTTCCAGCTAACTTAACAGACCATTTCTTTTTTTGAATTGTCATATGACTTTAAGACGTTTATTATTACGTAGTACAATACATCTCAACGGAATATACGTATTCGCAGTTGATTAGTACAAAGATAGATATCGACTAGTATGATACAATTATTATGTACTGACCAGATATGCGACTCCCATCTGCCAGTCCGCCGGTAAAACGTGACACCACGATACTGGGAGCTCCGGGAACGGGGCCCACGGCGACTCTTCTTTATTGGCTGGACGGACTGCACGTGTGGAGGTGGCCGCTCTTCCACTTCCACTCCTTCGCCGGTCTCAGACACGGACAGTTTCAACCAGTTTTGAGGATGGGGTGGCGGAGGAGACGTCAAAGACGACAAGAACGATTCTTCGGGTACCGGTAAAAGCTGCCTAGTGACCATTATTCCGGCGGTATCACTGCTCTCATCCTCAACATGGAACCCTTGATTGCTATTCAGTATCGAGAAGGTAAGAGTCGACAGAGAGTTGAGGCCGCCAGCAAGGGGAGCGGGGGAGGGGCTGTATGTCTCATCGACGATAGAGGTGGGTGAGTCGTCGGCGTTGACGACGGAGGAAGAGGATGCAGTGTTGGATGTGCCAGAGTAATCACCGCCAATCGCGGAGGCGGCGGTCTCTGGTGCGTACGGGTCCGGGTCGGAATCATCGCAAGTCGGGTCAAATGAAACTACAGCTTTCATGTTCAGATCCAACGCCATATCTATTCCTCCTCTCATCCTGCTCGCGTGTATATAATCTCTGCCGGCTCCTTCTAAATTCTCGGTCTTCAAGCTGCTAATTCCGGCGGTCACATGATTCTGATGAATAGAGAGAGCGGCGGAAACGGGTAAAAACATCCGGATTGACTTTTGATGGAATCTCCTCCATTACACTTTCGTACTGGTATGAGATTAAATAAGGGTTTATATAAAGATGAAGTCACCTTATCTGATTGACTGATTCATTAAAGATTACTCCAAAAAATAGTTCAAACTTCAAAGCAAAATGCAACTTAAAATTTTGGGGAGACAACTCAGACAAGATACGGTGATACTAGTGCTTCTTTAATGTAAGTTACTACGTGCTTGTATTTAATATTCAGTATATTTAATAATATCCTTCCTATCACATTAGTCGTAACATTGAAATACATACATTATTCGTGTACATTATTTTGACTATATTTTATTTTAAATTGAATTATTAGATTTCTAGTATGATACAATTGATTTGATCCAATTTAATCTGTTTTAGTCTAATTTGATCTGGTCTAATCTAAGATTTAAATCAATCCAACTAAAGCATCCTATACCAAAGTTTTCAATAGATTCTAATCTAATCTCTTTTTTAATCTAATTTTTAATCGCAATTAAAATAAATTTCTCTTATTTATATGTTTTTTTAACCCAGTAGACAAACCACATAATGTATTTTTCTGTTATATACTAATTGAAAGATTATTATAAAAATATCCTAATTGAAAGATTTTGACTTTTTATACATCATTCGTCATTTAAAACTTTGTAAACTTTCCTTTTTTGGTTATCCGATTAACTTTGTGGCTTTCCTTTTTAAGTAAATAATTTGTGATTCGTGTTAAATATGTCTCATCTGCACAAATAGTAGCAAACTCGACACAGAGCGGGTTTCTCAAGCAAACTGAGAAACTGGGAGAAAACGGCGAAAATAGTAGCCCTCGGCACTGTGAGCCCTCGGCACCAGGGTGCCATCGGGTGGAAGAGCCCTCGGCTACTGCTCTATAGCCGAAGGCATCTCACTCGACAAGATATCCGCCTCACATGCATACAGATCAACGTACCCCGCACAGACGTCCCATCCAACAGCCGCATTAAATGCGGCCACATGCGGCTGCCAGCGCCAACCAGTTGAGGTGACCCCTCGGCCAATGAGCACTTGACACGTGTCCCTGCCCGGCATTTATTGCTACTATAAATAGCACCCCATTTCCCCATTTGTAACCACGCTTAATACATATCGAATATACACTCTCTCTCTTACTTGTTTGCTCTGACTTCTCTCTAAGTTATTCCCCGTAATAACCCTTCGGATATATACCCCCGGGTAGACTATCCATCATTTGGTGCTCTCGTTGAGAGGTTGAACAATCGAGTAAGAAACCCTCCCCCTCGACCAAACACAAACACTAGCCCTCTATCAAAATGGTGAGGACAACACGTGCCAACTCAAAGAACGTAGAAGACAAGAACCTGGCCCTCGGCGACGTCAACGCCCCCGAAGCCTCTCACAGGGCTCCCGAGGGCGGTGTCATCGCTGGGCTGGAACAGGCGGCTGTCGACCTACGCCTTCAGATCCAACAAAATGCCCCCGATGCCCGCCTCGGCATCGAGGCCAAGAAGAAAAACCGGAGCGATGACCAAGTCAGCCCTCCGGTTCTCACCATCGACGTACAATCGGCGCTCTCCGCCTTCATCCAGACGCTCACCCAGAACCCGGGTGCCTTCGGCACCCTGGCTCCAGCTCACCCTCAGATCGGGGAAAATGTCATACTTCCCCCTCTGCCACACCCCTTCGGAAATCCCCCCCTCGGGTGAGAAACGATGAAGGGGTGGTGGCCCAAGATACATCCTCCCAGGAAGTTCAGTCCCGGGACCGCCATAATGACAACAGGGAAAGGCCCCGTACTTCCGCCCTCAACCGGCTCGGAGGAGGGCCAGACCGCCGAGGGGTCCAAGACCGCCTCGGGGGGAAAGCACTCCAAAGGCCCCAGGAAAGTGGGGGATCTGTTTCGAGGGCAGACGAGGAGCGTCCCCCTCGGGACAAAGGCAAGGCACCCCTTCATGCCGATGATGCTCGACACCAAATCAACCAGGCCCACTCGGCCCGGGTTCGTTCGCAGGGGGCGGAGACCCTCCCGAGGGACCCCCGGGACGAGATTATTGCGGCCCTCCAACGCCGACTTAACGAGATGGAGTCCAACAAAGCTCACGCCACCACCTCCACCCCTCACTCAGACCTCAAATACGAGGCCATGATGGCCAAAATGGAGGAATTACAGAAGAAGGTGGCAGAGGGCTCCGGGGAACCCGTCATCCAGCTTCGGACTCGGACGCCATTTACCCCAAGGGTATTGGCGGCCCGGATCCCGGAAAAATACCGAGGGCAACACATACATCCCTACAGCGGGAAAACGGACCCCCAGGAACATTACAGCAAGTACCAGAATAGCATGATGATGGTGGGGGCGTCAGACGAATATTTGTGTCGTTGGTTCCTCTCCACCTTAGAGGGACCAGCATACGAATGGTTCAACAGGCTGCCCGAGGGCTGCATTGATTCGTGGCAAGAACTCGCCCAACGATTCTTGACACAATTCGCCGGGAGGTGCCGCACAAGGAAGCACTTCTCCCACCTCCTAACAATACGCCAGAAGAAGGACGAGACCCTTCGGGATTTCCTGGAGCGCTGGAGGACGGAGACCGACAAGGTCGACGGTGCTGATGACGGGACCCTCCTGGCCCTCCTACAAACCATCCTCCGCACCGGCAACTTTTCAAGGAGCCTCATCATTGAACCCCCCCACGACTACATAAGGGCCTTGCAGCGGAGGGACCGGTATGCTGAGGCCGAGGAGGTGGAGAAGTATCACCAGCATCCGGACCAACAACCCCCGAGAGCTGACAACAAGCATAACCGAGGGCCGGGGGCTCCTCCAAATCGCCCCAAGACTTCGGGACCCTCTGATGACCGCCCTCGGCAAGGCCAATCCAAGCCCGGGGGAGGTTATAAGAGCAACCCTAAGACTTGGGCCCAGCCCATTCTCCTGGACCGCCCTCGGACACCATTGACGCACCCCGTCAGCATCATCCTCGATTTTGCCGAGGAGAGGGGCCTCGTTGAGCGCGACTCTCGCGCACCCCCGGAGGTACACGCTATCAACCCTCAGTTCCCCTACTGTCGCTTCCATCGGCACCAGGGGCACAGGACCGATGACTGCCATCAGCTGAAGACGGCCATCGAGAGATTAATACAGGCAGGGCACCTGTCCCAGTTTGTCCAGATCCCTCGGCAGGAGGGACCTTCTCATCAGGGACCTCCCCGAGGGCACCATACGAAGGTAAATGCCTGGGTGAATCCGAACACCATCCCCCTCGGCAAGAAGAGGGAGATCGGAAACTTGGAAGAAGAGGAGGAGTACCCCCACTACCAGGAGAAGAAACGCCACATCCTCATGATCACCGGTGGCAACACAGGGGGTGATTCCACCAGCCAGCGAAAGAAGTGGGCTCAATCGCTTTACGTAGGGGAAGTCACTCATATGCCCCCAGTAAAGCGATTGAGGGAGGAACCCATCACCTTCACCAACGCAGATCTCCCTCCTACTTCTTCTCCTCACAGGGATGCCTTGGTAATTCGGACGGAGATCAACGACACCATCATTCACCGAACTTACGTTGACACGGGCAGCTCCGTCAATGTAATGTACCTCAGCACCTTCAGAGAGCTGCATCTGGAGAGGGGGTCCCTTCGGCCCATTAAGACCCCTCTTGCCGGCTTCACCGGCGATACAATTGATTCCGAGGGGGTAATAACCCTCCCGGTGATCTTCGGCGACGGGATCCATAGAGCCCAGCTCGAAGTGGAGTTCGTCGTCGTCAACATTGACTGCGCTCACAACATCATCCTCGGCCGGCCATCCCTCGAGGACCTCGAAGCCATCATCTCCATGAGGCATCTCTGCCTCAAGTTTCCCGCCGAGGGGGGCATTGGCTACTCCCGGGGGAACCAAAAAATTGCCCGCGCCTGCTATCTTCAGGTCACTAGGAAGGTCAGCAAGACGGAATTCCGTGTTGACACCATCACCGGAGCCGTCGACCAAGAGGAAAGAAGGCCGAGGGCTGAACCGGCCGAGGACGTAGAAGACTTTGCGCTCGATCCGGCCCAGCCGAAGAGAGTCGTGAAGAATGGAGCCCAGCTCCCTGAAGATTTGAAGACCGGTATCACCGACGCCCTCCGCGCCTACTCCACTGTCTTTGCATGGGGGCCGGAGGACATGCCGGGAATCAGCCGAAGGGTCATCACCCACCGCCTCTCGGTGGACCCTTCGGCAAAGGCAGTGCAGCAACGAAGAAGGCCCCTCTCCGCCGAGAGGAGGGAATTTGTGAAGAAGGAAGTCGCCATGCTCCTCTCTATCAAGCACATCAAGGAGGTAAAATACCCCTCATGGCTAGCGAATGTAGTCCTCGCACAGAAGCCCCCTACCTTCCGCATGTGCGTGGACTACACCGATCTCAACAAAGCATGCCCTATGGATCCATTCCCTCTACCAAACATTGATCAATTGGTGGATGAGACCGCAGGGTGTGAGATCATGTCCTTCCTCGATGCCTTCCGAGGGTACCATCAAATTTTCATGCACGAGGAGGACGCCGAAAAAACTGCCTTCATGACTCCCGAGGGCATCTTTTGCTACCTAGTGATGGCCTTCGGCCTAAAGAACTCGGGGGCCACTTACACCCGGATGGTGGCCCGGGTCTTTCAAGCCGTCCTAGGGCGCACCATGGAGGCCTATGTTGACGACATGATCGTCAAGAGCAAACAATCTTCCAGCCATGCTGACGACCTCCGGGAAATCTTCGCCATCATGCAAAAATTTAACCTTCGGCTAAACCCGAAGAAGTGCACCTTCGGCGTCCAAGGGGGCAAATTCTTAGGCTACATGGTGAGCCGGAGGGGTATTGAGGCCAACCCCGAGAAGATCCAGGCCATTATCAGTATGGAGCCCCCACGCAATGTGAAGGAAGTCCAACGGTTGACGGGCCGCCTGGCAGCCCTCAACCGTTTTCTATCTAAATCGGCGGAGAAATCTCTACCCTTCTTCCAGATCATGAGGAAGACGGCTGGCTTTCTATGGACTCCGGAATGCCAGGGGGATTTCGACGAGCTCAAAAGATATCTATCTTCACCTCCTGTGCTCTCCAAACCCAAGGTAGGGGAGACCCTCTACCTCTACCTTGGGGTC